CTGCTCTTGTTCGTTTCTCAACGTCTCGAAGTTTACTGTGGACTGCTGTAACACGTTCATTTCTAGCCTAGATAAAGCATCTGCCGCCTGATTGTCCTGACCTTTGACATGTCGGATATCGCTTGTGAACTGTGATATATAGTCAAGGTGTCGGACTTCTCGAGGTGATTATTTATCAGCTCTCGCTTTTAGTGCATTCGTTAGTGGTTTGTGATCCGTAAAGACTATGAATTCCCTGCCTTCTAACATGTGTCGGAAGTGTTTAATGGTTAGGTAGATTGCAAGAAGTTCTCGTCCGAAGGTAGAATACCTTGTCTCTGCTGGAGCAAGTCTTTTTGAGTAGAAAGCAATTGGTTTCCAGGCGTTTTTAACCAGTTGGTTAAGGGTACCGCCTACTGCTTTATCTGAAGCATCCACCATCAAAGCAAGTGGGGAAAGAGAATTCGGATACATCAACGTAGTTGCTTGAGCTAATTTATCTTTAAGCTGTTTAATAGCTTCGATGGCGTCAGAAGACAGTTTGAATTCTTTTGGTTTTCCTTTGAGTGAATCTGTCAAAGGTTGTATTAATTGTGCACAACCTGGTATGAATCTGCGATAAAAGTTAATTCGACCTAGAAAACTTCTCAGTTGTGTTAGAGAACTAGGTATGGGGTATTGTTTGATGGTGTCTACTTCTTTTTTGATCGGTTTAATCCCTTCTGGGCTTATTGTGTGACCGAGAAATTCTAAAGTTTGAACACCGAAAACACACTTACTTTGATGTATGTTTATTCCATGTTCATCCAGTCTTTTCAACACTGCTTGTACATGCTGTTCGTGTGATTGCAAGTCGGGGCTGGCAATTAACAAGTCGTCTATATACCCCTGCGCAAATGGCATATCTCGAAGTAGGTTGTCTATGAATCTTTGAAATGTCTGTGCCGCATTTCTCAGGCCGAATGGCATGCGTACAAACTCGAATAAGCCAAAGGGTGTTGTAATAGCTGTCTTGGGGATATCTTCATCAGCCACTGGGATATTGTGATATGCCCTGACTAAGTCAATTTTAGTGAATATGTTCATACCCTGTAAACCGTTTGTGCAATCTTGGATATGCGGTATTGGGTACCTATCTGGTACGGTTTGACGGTTTAGGGCTCTGTAATCCCCGCACGGTCGCCAGTCACCTTCATTCTTCTTTGGGACCATATGCAAAGGGGATGCCCATTGACTATCAGAGGGACGGATAATACCCAATTGTAGCATATAATCAAACTCAGCCCTAGCGATTTTGAGCTTATCTGGTGCTAGTCTCCTGGGTTTTGCAAAAACCGGTGCACCTTCGGTTTTGATAGTGTGACTTACTTTTAGTTTGTCTTTGGAAGGCTGTGGGTTTGGTTTAGTTAAGTTTGGAAATTCCGCGAGTATATCTTGGAATTTCGCTGTTGTTACTGGAGGAGTTTGGATCAAGTCAAGAGAGCTGATGTGACTTTCTTTGCCTTTTGTGTAATACGAAGTTTCTTTTAGTGTTAATCGCCGTTTCTTGGTGTCAACTAGAAATTCGTATCACTCTAGAAAGTCCATCCCCAGTATTGCCAGATCTAAGTCGGCTACCGTGAAAACCCAAGGGAATTGCCTCCTGAACCCCAAATCTAGGGTTAAAGTTTTCTGCCCAAATGTCGCGATTTTAGTTTTATTTGCAGCTTGAAGTGTAATTGATGATGTTTCTCGACTAATCTCAGTTTTATTTTGAGGGATGATGCTAAGAGCAGCGCCAGTATCCACCAAGAAATTCAAGCCAGAGTTTCTGTCTCTAACATAAAACAAGCGACTGGTTAGGCACCCCTCCTCAGTCGTCGCGACCTGAGGAGTGGTTACTCGTTTCCCGCTGTCTTAGAATTATGCTTAGGCCAGGCGCATGGTTGCATGCACTTGGTTTAGTTGACACCAAACTTCCAGTGGTACCAACAAAACTGCCCAGATTGTCTGGACATTTGTGACCTGTTTTGTGACTTGGGTCGTGGTCGTTGACGTAAAAACTGTGACGGCGACCGATCACCTAGCGTTTCACCTTGAAAAAGTCTTTGGATTCTTTGACTATCTGATAATGATAAACGGTTCATTATCCCTCGTCTTAAGATGGTGTATGGTTGTGGTGATGGTGGATCTAAAATCAAGTCACGGACTTCTTTGGCGACTGAAGGAGGAAGGATAGAACACAAGTCTCTATAGCGAATCCCTTCAGATTTGATATTGTGTCTCGTGAAATAATGCTCTAGTTGAGCAAACCACAACTCAGGATCACTACGATCAAATTCTGGAAGTCGAGAATTCGTAGTCATAACAGTGTCTATCTCCACTGGTGACAAATCCTCCATATTATGGGTTTCTATTGAGTCTGACATGAGGTATGTGACAAATATAGCAATAAAGTTAGCACGAAAAATGGTTAATATAACGCGAATAACTTAAGATAATACGGGATAAGCTAGTTATATACTGAACTTAGTTTACGGATAATCAGGTCTACTTTTACGATTAAGTAAAATTTTTTAATAACAGAAATGAGGTTAAATTTGTGTTCAAAAAGGGCTCACCAGTTTCGTGCCTTAAGGTAACCCTCGTGCTATTGATAGAAGAAACCAGAGAAGTAGTGAATAGGTCTTTATTTCGATCTTCGCGCAGTCACAGTGGAGCGCGGGATTATCTGTTCAGACAAACAAAGGCTCTCAACATTCAATATAAGATAATAGGGAATATAACGCTTATAAAAAATAAGGAAGTGAATGAATACTTGAACAATACTGTTTTGGCATATGCTTGGTTGTTTGGGGTCAACTCTTAACCAACCAACCTGAGCTGTTACATACTAATGTCATAGTACACTGGTCAGATAGGTACTTGGCAACCATCATCTTTATCTAAACAAAACTACGAGATCATTCATATGACCTTTATGCACAAAAGTTCTCTTTTCCTACTAGTATCATTAGTTTTACGATTATTTTTTATTGGCTTCACTGATCTTAATTGTGCTTACATCCTAATTTTATGCGATCCGTTTGTGTCAAACATATATGTAACATTTCAACGCATATAAACATTTGTTCTAGTTTAACGCTTGCTAGTCACACCAAGTGGTACATCTAGTTTGGAAGCGAGATCTCCTTGTCAAACATAGATATTACGAGAAAAACACCAATGTTCTGGATGGGAGCTTATATATTGAGCGCAGTGCGTTTTTATCACCCACCTGTTGCAAATTAGACAATTAACACTCTGTGTTGAAGTATGAGTTTGTTGGATTATGGTCTACTTCGCTATTGGTAACATAATGATAATACATCAAATCCTAAAATTGTAGACTTGTCATGATGTGACTGCCTAATCTATAAGTTCCTACGTGGAAGTCACATGACTTTCTGCACTGACTCATCGTATTATAACAATTAACAATATGATGCATGGAGGTTCTAAAAATAGAATAATATATTAAGTGTAAAGACAAGTTATACAAAATGACCACGCCTGCAAGTCTGAGCCGTACCATTTCTTTTAACCCAATATTCCCGAGTTCGCCATTGTTGGCCTTCCTCAGTGTTAAGTGTTGAATAACTATTTTCCCAGATGTGTCATGTTCAGCTTTGAGGATTGAGTGGTCAGGACCAATACCACTACACATCTGACTAAACGCAAGTCTGCGCCTTTATCTTCATCTTTTCCTTCATTAATTATTTACGCAGGTAATCTGCAAATTCCCCACAATTGGTTAACGCTTATTAGTTACAGACAGATTTTTCGACTCGCACTCTGGCTTCCCGGTAAGCTTGCCTTTTGCGTGGTTGAGGATCTTACTGACTATTAACAATACAACACCACAACAACTGCTGTTCTATCGTTTGAACATTCTTGAGTAAATTCATGACACTACTTAAATACTCGGTTGACGAGATCTTATCTGTTGAAGCCAAAATGCGATGAAATTAGCCCCTGACATTTAACGTTCGTGACGTAAAATACCAACATTCTCTGTTTATTGAACTGTGTTAACGAAAGCTCGACTTTCACGTGGTAAACATCAATAACTTTATCCCAAATCAGACGGTGGTAACAATATCGGTTATTTCTAGCTAACTGACATGTATTTTTAAATCATCAGTGTTTTAACTACTAATGTATAATATATAGCCTTTGTGATGGCAAGTGTTGAAAATCTAGGACCACAGTGATAACTTATATAAACTGTGACTGCCTGTTCGTTTGCTTTGTTTCGAGTGGAACGCTTATACAGTCTACGTGTTAATGGATGAAACTAAAAGAACGAACGACTATTTATCATAACAGACCCCAGTGCATGCAAAATCCCGTAAAGTTTAATATACCTAATTACTTAAATCAAAGGTCTGTCAAACACGTAGTGTTTGCTCGAAATTACGTGAAGCAGACAATAATTCATTATGCCGCATACATTAAACTTGTCTGGGACCGCTTACCCACTTCAATAACTTATAATATTCAGAAAGATTGTAGTGTTCAAAAATTTGGACAGTTAATGACAGGACGTTGTATTAATGTTTTATTAAAAATGCAGATTTACCACATCCACCAAAACTCCGCAATCGCAATTCCGGCCCTGAGTCTACTCATTTACTAACAAAGACTATGAGAATATTCCTGCCAAGCCTATAAATTCCCTTAAAAATAGTCTTCAGCAATTCCCTATAACTAACTCATGACAACTTACTGCCTCAATGGCCGCAAAATCAATAAGACTCATCACTTACGGACTTGACTTCAACTATTTCTGTGGTTCTTTGAAATGAATTTACGTTATCTACAACAAATACCACACTTCTTTTCCGGGTGTCATGGATTAGTTGCGAAAACCAACTTCCAAATTGCACTTGATTAACATTGATCAAATCACTCTTCACTTACTAGGTAAGCTGGTGATTTATCCAACTTCATCATTCCTACACAGCGTTTTATTTTCAAATATTGTATATTGGATGTTGGACACATTAGGGGGCTTTCAAATAGTGGCTACGGCGTGGTCGTGCTGTTATGCTATTATGCAGAAAAAGAGTTACCAAAGAAGCACATTAAACCGTGTTCTTACGACTGCTCATCGTGGTGCAGTCTTCACTTGCTTTATGTTCGGTGTAGTCCTGACAGGGTACACAGTTATTTCACTAGCCCAGTATTATATATTTAAACGACCTATTATCAAAAAACAGCAACAAGACTACGCGAAAGCACTTATTTTTAAAGAGAAGCGGGAAAAAGAGCTTGGTTTGAGAGATTGACAATATTTCACGTGAAGTTTTATGAAAAGGTTGTCAAACCGTTTCGGTGATTTCTTTCTTTCTATGATGTCCGTCTTGAAGTCTTACGAAATTGCCAATTTAAAACAACCATCTACAAAACCTATTGTTGATGAATCAATCTCTGGTTCGTCCAATCATTCTACCAGACCTAGACGTAGGAATAATGCCATTTTGTTGATGTATTCAGGCTGGGGTTATTACGGTATGCAAAGGTTAGTTGACAATCTGATGCGCAATTTATTCGACTTTTTGATTGTGAACAATTTATTGTGTTTGTATATGTAAACATTCGCTAACATGCTACATGCCTTAAGTTTGTATCATTGACCGAAACTTCCTTACAAAATATAGATTAACGGAAACAGTTGTCGACTAATAAGAGCGATTTCATATCCTATGTTGTATGGTGAGGGCAGCTGCTTCTATCATCGTGGACATTTCCTATATCGCTGCACAAAGTATATACATTTATTTATACACACTAGAAGTGTCCTTAGAAGTACGTGCCATTTACAATATTCGGGTTCAGTGAATGATGATTTAGAATTTCGAGGAATGCGAAAATACTACTACCTGAGATTGATTCTTTAAACTGAATCATATTACATAAAAGCGTAAACAGCTTTTCTAGGATGATAAAAATACTAAAGATCGGGAACCTTTAGTTGTATTCATTGCGTAAACCACTGCTAACTGACCTATTAGAGTCAAAAGACCTTATCTAGGTAGTTTGCCACTATTCAAAAAGTTTTAGGTTGACATGATGATGTCTTTCGTCATAATGCAATAAAGAGGCCGGATTAATGGGTCGGGTTAATGACGTCATCAGAACAATCATTCCTATCACCTGTGTTAAATTCGATGTCTCGCGAAATTTAGGCACGGGTCCAGAAGGCTCGGTTGAATTGTGCTAACTTTCATCACTTGTGATGTAATCGAGACATCTGTTTGCCAAACAAAAGACCAGCAGCTCGCTCTGCTTCCATATATGTTTACGAAATATCAGATATTAGTGAAAAGGCAGTATTAAACCGCAAGTGGATTCCAACTGTCTTAAAAGTATTCTTGTATATATACAATCTCCTAAATTATCCACAAAAAAGGTTAGGTTGCGTACTCGAACTTGAATTGCTTTTATCAGACGTGTCACTAGTGTCATGGACCTAATACTAAAGCTCCTACCAGCTCATCAACTTTGATTTAACTCAAAATCATATCCAGTGCTCATGACTATCTTCCTTTCCATTTCTCAATTAAACGATAAGTCAAACCAGTTCACTGCTCATATATACTAGGACAACTGAAGTGTTGAGGTTAGACATAGGGTATTAGATAGATGTGGTCAGTAAGTCAGTCACAACGTAAGACCAGGGACATATGTGCATCGGTCCAAGTTGCAACGCCTCATTAGCGCAACAGGTAAAGACCGAACTCATAGAAGCAGTCAATCCAGTGGTGCTAATATGCAAAAGAAAGATTGCAATAAGGATATAGTACAGGAAGAAAAATTAGTTCGTAGAAAGATATGAAGCGATTTTAATCTCATAGTTAAAGGGAAGACAAAGAATGTATACACCTACACTACTGTGGTAGATTCTGAGCCATGTCATCAAGAGTTTCCAACCATTGGTTACGATAAACACGCGGACCACAACCAAGTAGCAATTCCAAAGTTGTGGAAAAGATTAGGTATAGGAAAAAGAAACGAAAAGTTTTAGTGAGATTTCATAATTCAAGAATCGAAGGAGGATAAAGAGTGAATAGATGTGTGCCATTATAAATGTCTCTGAGCCATGTCACTCAAAGTCTAACCACTAGTTACGATGATCACTCGGACCTCAATCAGGTAGTCTGCATCTACCAACGTGGCTCAGACCAGAAGTCAGTGACTTCAAACACTGATTCCACGTTTTGGTTTGGCCGCCCCTAACTATCTTCCACCCATTTTCATTTACTGAGGCTGTTTATGTATGTATACGTATACCTAACCACCGGCTAACTAGACGAATTATGCTTCCTAATGTAGGAGTATGCTGTCAAACCAAGGCGATATCAGTTCATCGATAAGTGAACCGAGCAGTGAAGGCAAGCGCAGATTACCTGGTTGAGGTCCGAGTGATCATCGTAACTAGTGGTTAGACTTTGAGTGACATGGCTCAAAGACGTTTCTAATGGTACACATCTATTCACTCTTTATCCTCCTTCGATTCTTGAATTATGAAATCTCACTAAAACTTTTCGTTTCTTTTTCCTATACCTAATCTTTTCTACTACTTTGAGATTGTTAATTTTATTTCGCTGTAGTGTGGAAACTTTGACAAATCCTTTTTTCCACGTTTGGTTTATCTGACTGATAGTCGTTATCTTATACTGGTTCTTCAGGACCAAATATTTTAATTAAACTGTCTAGACTGTTAAGTTCCTAAGACGTTAACTCTTAGGTTGATTGTCAAGCTTGATAACAGGGGTTTTTCAGGTGGAGATTACTCGTGCATCTTTACATTTTCGGACATACTGTCGAGTCATAATCGTCTGTACAAATATAGTTTACTTTTGTTTTCCATATAAGGATACGAGTTCACGTTTAACTTTAATGCTTTGTACACCGTTTTTCCTTCCAATTCTTCAATTTTTACATTTGATTTGTATCTTCATGGGGTACATGTTTTATTACCCTAATTACATCTTCGTATGTTGAGAACAATTTTTGTAAAACGCTTAAATGAGAATTTTATTTTTACACGCCCATATGTTTTTTAACCGTTTGGCAATTCCTAATTGTAAGATTATTTTATATATTTGGAATTTCAGTAGTGTTTTATTACTGTCTTTGTGTTTGTGTAAATAAAATTCCAATCAGATGCCCTGTTTTTCCAACTATTGAAGGAGAATTGTCTAAAGCTCTCTTTACTTGTGGTCAACTCGATAATCTGACAGGTGAAGAACATAAAAGAGTAAGTCAACAACTATTCCTATCAAAATTATTGTTATATCGAGCGACCTGAGCTAGGTTCTCGGCGAGGCCTCATGCTGCCCCCAAATGCCCTGGTACTGCCGGGGGTTGGAAAAGTTAACTCTCCCTCTCGAAACGCTCTCACATGATCACGCGTATACAATCACTCCCAAGGAATTTCTACTCACTGCCTATCGTGGCGGGGGGTGTTGTTCACGAAGTTGAGAGGACGAAAGGCGAATGTCCGGCGCCTTAACCGGACTGGTGGATACGGAGGATCCACTTCAAGAATTTGGAAAACCCTGATTATAAATCAGTAGTGCACATGGACTCCAGTATCCTGAGGGAACAAGTAGTGTATGAACCAATTGTTGACCACCGGCTACCATGGGTCTGCATCTTCTGACGTTGCTCCACTGCCTTGTGGATTAAACCTTTAGGTCGGAGGTTCCGGGTGTGGCCCCCTAACAAAGCCACCTGCTTCGGTTTAGTCGCCCGTGCAGTATCACATCCCACACACAAATCAATTGATTTATGTGGCACATATCTGTTTGGTGCCCCTTTGTATCAATATTTGTGTTCAAATAAATAATTGTGTATGACTTTAGTAATAGTGTTTATGTGTATCTGTACCTGTCAACTTTTCGAACTACTACTCAACAGTATCAGGACACATCAGTACGTGCCAAAGAAACTCGACAGTTTATTTCATGCTACTGTCTCAAACTGTCAGATAATCACCCGGCCTTCAACAAACAAAATTTTAGCATAAAAGCCAACGCGATAAAATAGATATGATTTGCCTAAGATGTAAACCAGTAGTTTCGTACCGCAGCTCAATAACCATGTAAAGATTTTTGTACTGAACCACCAATATTGCTCGGTTTGAGCGCCCAGGCAGTATCACAGCCCTCACACATATCAAATGAGATTTGTGTGGCGCATATGTGTTTGGTGCCTTCTTGTACCAATATCTATGTGTTAAAATAAAATAAAAATATTGTGTATGAACTGGTGTATTTACCTCATCGCTCAGTTTGAAGTAAATGAAACAAGAATCGCACCTCTGACCTGATGGTGTGAGGTTTATTGCTTTACATATACTTGTATACTTGCGTCCAATGTATATTACTTTATTATTCTGCTTATCATCCCGTCAACAAAAACCGTTTTTAATCTTATTTACTTATGACTAACTGATTTGTAACCACATGTATAATCAGCTGTTTAGAACTAATATATATATATATATATATATATATATATATATATATATATATATATATATTCGTACTACAATGTACAAGGTTTGGAGATATTAACTGGTTGTCTAGATTAAAATATAGGAAGCGAAATTCAAGCCTATGACCCATTGGTTTAAAACCAGATATGCTAACCACCAAGCTACCTCTCCTATGACTGAATTAAGTTGGTTGAGACACTGTCTTCATCAGTTATCGAAACGATGTTTATCCCAGCGTGTTCATCACAAAACTAGTGATATTATGAAATAATCTGAGCAATTTTCTCACTTTTCTGGTGACTGGACAGTTGTTGATTTCAATCGCTACCATCTGTTTTATATTAAACAACCTATTTCTTTAAGGTAATTAATGCTTGTTACATTCATTTCCAACTCAATAAGTTTCTGCTCAACATTGGACAATACTGCTCGATATCGAACATGCTTTTGGCTACCATTCAATTATTGATAATTATATATTAGTATATGTGACAAGAGCTAAACAGCATTTCATCCTTCTGTTTATTTCCATCCGACTTTCAGGTTCATTTTCAACGTGCATCTAAAACTGACAAATCCGTTTCCGCTCTTGGACAAGTTTGTTCCATGCAAGTAGGTCTCTTTATTAATGGATTAAACTAATTTTTATTCTCCCCCGAAGTTACACGAAGACACAGATTTATTAAATAAATTAAACAAAGCCCTACCTGAAAATATTCGTGTTCTTGGTAAGTTCACAGGCTCATTTGTTAATCACCTTTTCTGAAGAACATAAACAGTATATTTCCCAACCTTTGTATGAGCGAACTAAGTACTTATTACTCATTTATTCATACACATAAATACTAGTACAACTGGACGCCAAAATAAATTTGCCCCACACCAATAAGAAAACGACAGTGTGTGGAGATAGAGAAAGGAATGGAAGGATGGTCAACTGAACAAATGAATTGAAATGAGTGAACGAGGATGAATTGTAATAGGCAGTCAGTTTTAAAAAGATACTAATAAGAAGGATCTTTTCAGTTGAAGTTCTCTGTTTTATGAGGAATATAGAAGGGAACTAGAGCGGGATCCACCACTGGTTTCTAATTCTGAGCAATATCTGATAACGTCTTAAGTCACTGAGTTGTAATATCTATAAAACCCTATCCAGTGATTCATAGTAGGGCGGCAGATGTCAATCTTGAAAAGCTTTTTTCCACACTACTGGACCATATCATAGATTGACCACCTTTCCTCTTTTCCCACTCCACCTCAGCACCGGCAATCAATGCACGATATAGAAGTTGCTGGGTTGAAATCAGGTTGGTCATATCGTAATCAATCATTAAGTTCCCAGCAAATCTTGAGGGAACGTCGGTCTGCTCTGGCTAATCTCAACTTTGATGGTGAACGTTGGTTCCTACTTGAGAAAATTTCATTTCGTGTAAAAATTTGGTGGTTGAAGAATGCTATCAATTAAGAAACAGCTCCAGCATCTGGCAACTTCGGAAAGCTATTTAACCTATCTGAGCCACTGACGCAGAGTCTAGTGTGAATGAAACAATTTATGAAGTTGATGATATATCAAATGGTGACATCCAATGATGTCTCGGAAGGTAACCAGCTTATCGAGGAACAGCCTGCTCTCTATAGACGGTGACGAATGTTCGAGATGCGATTCTCCCCTCGAAATGCAAAATGTTGCTTCAGGATTAGGTTGCATGAACACCCGAACTAATGATAGGGAGTGGAGTAATTGAGCGTGTCGATCGCTTCACTTATCTTGGAAGTCTCATCAGCCCTTGTGGTCTGGTGTGTGACGAAATCTCAGCACGGATACAGAAAGCTCGACTAGCTTTTCCCAACTTGCGTCATTTATGGCGTAGGCGAGATATACGTCTATCAACCAAAGGACGTGTTTACTGTGCAGCAGTTCGTTCCGTCCTACTTTATGGCAGTGAAACATGGCCGATAAGAGTAGAGAATATTCGTAGGTTACTAGTATCTGACCATAAGTGTCTTCGAAACATTGCTCGTATATCCTGGGACCACTGAGTCAGTAATGCAGTTGTTAGGAAATAGGCACTAGGTAAGGATGACAAAGAAATTGATGAGGTAGTGAAACTTCATCAGTTGAGATGACTGGAACACGTTAAGTATTCCCAACCACCGACTGTCTCGACGTGCGATGTTTTATGGTGTCGGAGTAGGCTGGAACAAAGCTTGGGGCCGCCAGACCAAAACATGGCACAAATCCATGAAGTCACTGACAAGTGGACTGAGTCATGTTGGTAGGTGTAGACTACCTGTTTTGGATCCGCAAAATGATAGCAACCGATGGTTAGAGACCTTAAATGACAGGGCTGAAAATCGCTTGCAATGGCGCAGGTGTATTCACACTTTGTGTTTACCAAAATTTTCATCTTCTGAATTCTTCATGCCCCTTTCTTTTTCTCTTTCCAAATTTATTTCACTGAATTATACTCCTTGAATAACATTTTCAAATCTTAACCTTTCCGACTACTGTTTATACTCTACCACTTCTACCATTACAGGATTTGAATCGACAACTACATCTCTGTGCTAATTTGATATGGCAACTCGAACCGATGTACGTACGTACGAGGTTCTATGTTGCTACTAACTGTCTGACTGGCTCTCCATGCTCCCAAATGCCCTGGTACTGCCGAGGGTTGGAAAAGTTAGCTCTCCCTCTCAAAACGCTCTCACATGATCACGCGTATACAACCACTCCCAAGGAATTTCTACTCACTGCCTATCGTGGCGGGGGGTGTTGTTCACGAAGTTGAGAGGACGAAAGGCGAATGTCCGGCGCCTTAACCGGACTGGTGGATACGGAGGATCCACTTCAAGAATTTGGAAAACCCTGATTATAAATCAGTAGTGCACATGGACTCCAGTATCCTGAGGGAACAAGTAGTGTATGAACCAATTGTTGACCACCGGCTACCATGGGTCTGCATCTTCTGACGTTGCTCCACTGCCTTGTGGATTAAACCTTTAGGTTGGAGGTTCCGGGTGTGGCCCCCTAACAAAGCCACCTGCTTCGGTTTAGTCGCCCGTGCAGTATCACATCCCACACACAAATCAATTGATTTATGTGGCACATATCTGTTTGGTGCCCCTTTGTACCAATGTTTATGTGTTTAAACCAATAAATTTAATTAACAAATGCTCTGATACTTTGCTTCCACTCCCATACTTGTGAGGCCTAGTTCGACAAAAAACAAGGCTCAAATCCTAGATTTAGAAACTGGACATCGAACGTTGTAATCACATAGTCCGTGGCCTACAAACAGACTAAAAAGATGATAATTAGTAGCAGATGAAAAAACTGAAATGATCTGTCATAACGTAGAAGCTGGTATGTATGTACATCAGTTCAAGTTTCCGTACCCAAGAAGGACAGAAAAATAAAGGTGTTAGGTCGAATCCTGGAATAGTAAAGGTGACAACACAACCCTTCAAGCATCCAGTATTGAGTAACAAGATAGAAAGTATATATATATATATATATATATATATATATATATATTGAGTGTACAGCTTTGTGTTTCGTTTTTGCCTTTTAGATATTATTCGTGTAACTCGTGGGTTTTCTTCATACGGTTCGTGTACACATCGAATTTATGATTATCTATTACCTACATTCGCCTTATCACCTGCTACTTCATTATTAAACGATTCCACTTGTTGGACTTATCGTTTAACAGTTGAACAAATTACACATGTTAATCGTTTACTTGAAAAGTATATGGGTACTCATAATTTTTATAATTTCACTTCAGGAAGGTAAGTTATGGTTTATAGGATCACAGTTTCTCAACTTCTCGTTGTGTTTATGATTTTTTCAAAAGATTAGATCATCTCTAGTCATTATTTGAATATTCAAAGTAATTCCTTTTGTCTGTTCCTGATTAGTCAGTCACTATCATTGAGAGAATTAAATTATTTATAAATTTAGTCATATACTTGCAATTTTGAGGTAACCTTGCTAACTCCTGATTTTTGATGCTTGGGATCATCTGATGTCGGTTGATTAGTGGTTAAAGCACGCCTTGAAAGCAATAGTAGGTCACAGTCTCAAATGTCACTCCACTCGCAGCGAGTTAATATCATCAGCCGTAACACTCAAAATGTATGCACAAACCTACGTTTGATAATTGCATCCAATTACAGACATCTTATTTCTGTTTGCCGAAACTACCTATAGGTAGGTTGAAGTTGCCACACCGCAACGAAATAAAATTAGCAATCTCAAAGTAGTAGAAAAGATTAGGTATAGGAAAAAGAAACGAAAAGTTTTAGTGAGATTTCATAATTCAAGAATCGAAGGAGGATAAAGAGTGAATAGATGTGTACCATTAGAAACGTCTTTGAGCCATGTCACTCAAAGTCTAACCACTAGTTACGATGATCACTCGGACCTCAACCAGGTAATCTGCGCTTGCCTTCACTGCTCGGTTCACTTATCGATGAACTGATATCGCCTTGGTTTGACAGCATACTCCTACATTAGGAAGCATAATTCGTCTAGTTAGCCGGTGGTTAGGTATACGTATACATACATACACAGCCTCGGTAAATGGAAATATACTGCATTATCAGGCGATATAGAAGATAATAAAGAATAAATTAATCTACGTCGTTATAGTCCTTTTTGAATAATGTTACCTGATTTCCCTAACCAATGATTACAGCTTACGTTTGGACCTCATCTACATAACCTGCAGCTGCCAATATAGTTCAGATCGATAGTCCGTTTCCTTGTGAATAAATGCCACGTTTTGGTTTGGTCACCCTTCGTTTTCCTCTAACCTACTCCTAAGCTAGTCAGCATTTAGCATCAAAATAAATATTAAGTTCTGACACACTGATAATTATTCCTCATAGTCGTGCTGAAATTACAACTTTTTTGTTAGTGTACTTTCTTGGTCAGTCAGTCAGTCAGTCAGTCAGTCAGTCAGTCAGTCAGTCAGCTACAACGTAGGACCAGGCACATATGTGCATCGGTCCAGGTTGCCATACCTCATTAGCACAGCAAGATGAACAGCGGATTCATAGGAGTGGTTAGGTCAAAGGTTGCAATAAGGATATAGTATAGGAAGAAAGAATTAGTTCGTAGACAGAAAGAATGAAGTGATTTTAGTCTCTTAGTTTAAGGGAAGACAGGGAGTGTATACACCGACGCCATTGTGATCGATTCTGAGCCATGTCACCAAGAGTCTCCAACCATTGGTTACGAAAGTCACGCGGACCCCAACCAAGTAGTCTGCATCTACCAACATGGCTCAGACTAGAAGTTAGTGACTCCAGGCACTGATGCCACGTTTTGGTTTGGCCGCCCCTAACTTTCTTCCGCATCCGCTGAAATTTTCGATTATTTGAATCATAGATTAAACAATTTTTTACTTATTTAGTATCATTATCTCCCACTCACAAAAAGTATAAGTCGACTGCTGACTATAGGATATTCGGTTGAGTATAGATATCGGTTCAATAAATACCAAAATGTCTTGAATACATACCGAATCAGTAAACTAAATATTAAATCTCAGATAAATTATTTATATATAAGTCTCTATTTCATGTTATCCCTTCACGAAAACACTAAAGCAGAAATTTCACTTGGTCTGAAATATTTTACGCTTTATTTCTCATCCATCCGTAGCCTTTAACCCTTGACGAAACACTAATATCACAACTGTAGAAACCAACTATTTTTGCTTGTATGATTCCCGATCGTTGTTGCTACCTTGACGTGGTGGTCGGGCTTGCCTATCGTGATGAAGCAACCGAGCTATACTGGCTGGAACAACGGTTCCTCAAGGTCCTACCATGTCAGACAGGTCGGTTGATGAGCGGTAAGACTAAAAGCGACAAACCCAAGGTCCGAAAGCGAAGTCGTACTGCTGACTGTACAGAGGTGTGACAGCAGTAAGATGTTTCCTTCAGACAACCAGCATGACAGCGATGCTGCTGTCTCCGGCGATATGGTCTTAACAAGTACGGAGCTAACACAAAAATTACCTATACAAAGGTCGTGTGTGACCGACCCCAAGCAGTTGTCCCTTGGGCACTGCGGTCACGCCCTCATGTCACTAAGACCACCTTTTTATCCAATTTCCTTTTCAGGTGCCTCCATACCTCTAACAGCTTGTATGATGATAGTACGGTAGGATTACCTACCATATACATAATTTTATTAATAAGTTGTTTTAAGTTACTCATAGGATGGGAACCTCGTGGACCCAGAATCATCAAAGCATCCCTCAAAACAAAGAAAGGGGGAATCACAATGAATGTTATTCAATGTTATGCACAAAACAATGATAGCAATGACGACGATAAAGATCAGTTTTTTTAGAGGCTGCAATCGATCTTAGTGAAGTGCCCAGGAAGGGACCTGACCATTCTGATGGGGGGCTTAAATGCCGAATTCGGGCATGAAGATGTCTTGGGACGACATGGACTGACTGGAAGAAAGAAACGAGAATGGTGGAAGATTCGCAAATCTACGTGCATTCAACAAAATGGTTATAGGTGGCACAATATTCCCACACAAACACATACATAAAGCCACATGGGTCTTATTAGATCACACTACAGAGATTTAGACGGATCATATTTACATCAGTAAAAAGTTCGGAAAGTCAATGGAAGGCGTAAAAACCAGGAGAGGAGCTGACATAGCTTCAGATCACCACATGGTGGTAGCCGAAATAAAACTGAAGATAAAGAAACATTGGACAACTAGAGAGACAGCATTAAAAACGTTCAATACATCCTTCCTTTGAAATACTGACAAATCCAAGATAGCTCTCAGCATCACGTTCCAAGCCCTACAAGATCTACTCAAAGAAGATGAAACCACTATGGAGGATAATTGAAAAAGGATCAAAAAAGTATAGTGGACAGCTTGCATGCAACTAGACGATTTGGATTCCGTAGATGACCTAGTGTGGTGCGTGTTACTTATATTGATATAAGTAGTATATAACGTGAGTTGAAGGAACGTAATGTCTGGCAGCAGAAGATGGAGAAGATCAAGAAAGGAAGAACGAGAACACAATGGAATTTGTAAGAAATCGCATGACCAATGAAATGTGAGACAACGGATTGATGTTTGCAACAGCAACAGTCCGGTTTGATATGATAGGATGATATTTTGCAAATTGACGATTTACTATATGGTTTTTCTATTTTACCAAGTAATTCTGTAATTTGTGCTAAATACAATTTGGTTGTCCTCACCCGTGTTCTTCTGCACTACACTAGCCCTTCCTATCCCACACACATCAACAGATGTAGGTGAAGAAAGCCAGTGTAGTAGCAGCATGCCTCAACAAACAACAGGAAAAGAAACAGTAAGCAACAAATAAATCACACTTGATGGAGCTTGGAAAGAGGTGGAGACTTTTGCGTATCTGGACAGTATCAGCAATAAACAAGTGGGATCTAATGCAGGTGTGAAGGTACGGATTAGGAGAGCAAGGGTAGCATTCATACAGTTGAAGAACATATGGAACTCAAAACAACTGTCAACCAATATCAAAGTCACAATCATCAATACGAACGTCAGGACAGTTCTACTGTACGGAGCTGACACTTCGAGAACTACCACAACCATCATCGAAAAGGTACAAATGTTTATAAACAGTTGCCTACGCAAGATACTCAATGTCCGTTGGTCGGATACCATCATCAACAGCCTACTGTGGGAGAGAACAAACTAGCTTCCAGCTGAAGAGGGAATTGGGAATAGACGATGAAAGTGGGTAGGACATACATCGCGGAAACCATCAGACTGCACCTCATGATAAGCTCTGACTTGGAATCCTCAAGGTAAAAGGAAAAGAGGTAGACCAAAGAACACATTGCCCCTGAAACCTCAGACACACCAAAAGAATGGACATCACTTGGGAAGTTCCAGGGAGAAGAGCCCAAGACAGTGTTGGTTGATGATTCCTAGTTGGTGATCTATGTTCCACAAGGGGTGCTTTGATGTCCTGGTGTCCGTAAGTAGTTGATTTATTGATACATTCATTACCTGTTGAAAATGTTTTTTACGCGTTGGCGTCCAAGTTAATGAGTTCCGCATTTCCACAAAGTTGATCTGTTAAGCGTCTCATGAGAGACGCGACTCAATATGAACCGTCGATGAAAACTGACCAAGCCGTTAAACGTACGTATTCGCTTGACTGTGGTTGGTTCTGGGTGACCCGGAATGGCCGTTATTTTCTTTTCAGATAGTGGATGCATTGAACATCAATAGTGTGTCCGAGAAGATCCAGAGAGTCGGTTCAAATCTAACACTTAATAGCTGCATTAATGCCGTGTTTTTGAAGTTGTATCGGAACAAGGTCCAGATTCTGGAGGTGAGACTCTCCATCCGGTAATGCGATCAAGCAGTCGTATATATATATATATACTCGACGTTGAGAACTCTAAAGACGTCGTCGATGAATCTGTGGGAAGTTTAAGCAGCACTTCAGGAACCGAAACGCGTATGCAAAATTCCGTAGAGTCCGAATGTAGTGATGGTAGCGGTGTTAGGAATGTTGTCAGCAGCCATGGGAAATGTGGTTATAAGCTCTATCAAGATCGATTTTGGAAAAAGTCATTTTTTGGGTAGCTGTCAAATCGTGAATGTGCTACAAGGAATAGCAATCAGGAGTGATTTCCGTATTCACTCGCCGACAATCATCAGTTGGACGCCAATCATTGCTGTCCCTTTCAGGAACCATGTGCAAGGGAGATACCCATGTGCTGTTCGTTGGCGGAATAATTTCTAACTTTTCGGGAGCTAGTTGGCACACTTTCAGAAATACAGGTGGCCACATGTTCGTGATATGCTGTGTAACATTGTTGGTTACGCGCAGTAATTTTTGTCATGTTTGGTGCAGTTCTAGGTACACATCAAGTATCCATTCATAGTATGGACCGCTTGTATGCTTACTAGTGATTGAGTATATTTTACAACGAGAAAATGAAGTTATACAAACAGATAACTTAGTATTTCAGTCTGTTGACCTCCTGTTGCTCGTGTCGATGAGAATAATGAATGGTAACTGTTGGAATCTATTTCTGGACCGTATTATTGTTAAGTAGCTAAACTATTCGTATTCGTGTTCCTCTTATCGTAATGTTTGTTTCGATCTATGGAATACTACTATACGATTTATCATTTTATGAGTTATGCCCAGTATATCAAGGAAAGATCCTAAAATATAACACAGTGAGTAACAACGAAGCTATAGTTGATACAAATCAGTCAGTGAGTTAATACATGTAACAGTTTACAAAACCGATGGGTTATACTGCTTTGATTAACAATTGTAGCTAAATTGTTGAGTTATATATATTGTGCTCCTTCCTTATGCATTTTTAAGTTGATGCACAGTCAGAACATAACATCGTAATATCTTCTAACAATTGATAGACAGTAGTGACTCAAACTGAATACTTTGACTAGCGTGTCAATATCACAACTGACCGTGATATTAAATGACATGTACTCCAAGATCACGAGTATCTTTAGACCTATTAAAATTATACAATCTTTGTTGAGGAGCAGCAACTATCTCGAAATTTTGGTGAACCATGGCTTTTGCCGATTACCTTCAACCATCCAATATATGGGTGATGTAAAATGTTTTTCAATAAGTCAAAAGTGTGTTAATCTATATCTTTGTTTTTCAATTATTTGTTAGTCTATTTTCGTACTCTTCAGTTCGACATTTAAACTTTTCTTTTGATTAATTTTAACACAAGACTTGCAACGGATAGCAGTTGTAATAGATATATTATATCAGCCAAATGTATGCCAACATTTCTACTCGGTGAGCATCAATATACTATTATACGTATTACTGGTCAGTCGTTTATGCTGCATCAAATACGTAAAATGATTGGTTTAGCATTAGCTGTTCTACGTGGTTATGCAACAGAAGCAGTATTTGATATTGTGTTCAGTAAAGAAAGAGTAAGAATAAAGTGTGTACTGTATAAATATCCGTGTTTATTTATAGTTGTTGATTATTTATATGCTTACATACGAATTCTTAGTCTGTCTCCTAACCATTTAATTTATCTGCCGTTTGGAGCGATTACGAGTTCACTTAATTTGAGAACGGAACAAAGACTCTGACCAAAGACCAATAAGCTAGCGATTCTGACGCGTCCCAGCCCCGCGAGTTTAATTGTGTGTTTCTGTGGTATAAGAACTAACAACCTATTTACAGTTTCAAACTTTTGTCATTAGATTTGAAAAAATAGACTGTCGACACGTTTATGCTCTCTTTCATTTATATGTAGGTAGATATACCGAAAGCTCCAGGACTAGGTCTTATGCTTAACCGAGTGGACTTTAGTCAGTATAATACAAAATATCAAAATGACGGTATCCATCAACCAATTGATTGGAGTAAATATGAAGTGAGTTTTTCGAATCTTTCTACTACTTGCTTTATCAATTTGATACAAATAAACTTTCTTATTGAAGTCTGTCTGTGAACTATTTTCATTTCCAGTGAGGTTTTCGATAGTTGTTTTTTATATCACATTATAAATTGGGGTTTACTATATCGCAAATTAGTTAAAAGTCTGGATTTAGCCTTATGTACGAAGCTATTTCATTCTCGCGGTGAGGGTGTTATTTACGGAATCGGTAGGACGAAAAGCGAAACTCGGGTGCTTTAACCGGATTGGTGGACATGGAGGATCCACCTACGGGAGTTGCAAAACTCTGGTTACAAACCAATGTACACATGGGCTCCAGTATTTTAAAGGGACAAATGGCGTATTAGCCTGTTGTTGATCACCGGCAACCATAAGACTATCTCCATTACCTTGTGGATTAGACCTTACGGCCAAAAGCCCAGGGAGTGGCACTTAAGCAGTATCTTATCCCTCACAATAGTTCTTTGACTTTTACGTAAGTCTGTAATAAAAGTTTACTATACAGTTGTTCTGTCGTTTTCCACAAAACACCTTAGTCAACCTTCATGCACAAACTCGATAACTCAACACTTCTTTGTCTTTCACGAGTTAAAATCTAAATGTTTATCTAAAGAAGAGCATTCGGATAGTATTAAATATGATGCAATAGTTATTTTTTTACTTGTTCATTGTATCCTTGTTTTCCAGTGTTAGATAACTGGAGGCAAAACGTCGGTTTTTCCTAGGTTTCTTGTTTGCTGAAACTCACTCCTTGTCTTTTTTCTTTTTCCAAATTTATTTCACTGGATTATACTCCTTGAATAACATCTTCAAACCCTAGTGTCTCCGATTACTGCTTATATTCTTACTACCTCTACCACTACGGGATTTGAATCGACAACTACAGCTATATTCTAACGTGGTATGGCAACTTGAACTGATGTACGTACGTACGAAGTTCTACGTTCTTACTGACTTGCTGAAACTCGTCAACAAAGTATATCTTTATTCTTAAGAAAAATGGTGCTCTTTATGAGAATTCAATGTCAGTGATCACAAAAGTGACTACAGAGCTATTCCAGCGCCAACTAACCTATCATAGGACTGAATTTTTCACACACTAATCACAAAGCAGTAATATTAAATAGTGCTATATTTTTCTAATCGTTAGCGCTGATGCTAAGCTAATGTGTTTTTTTTTTAGATTTTAAATAATATTCTCTGCCTATTTTTTTCCTTTCTATTAACAGGAGCAAAGAAACGAATTCAAGATGCAATATGTATATGAACATATTGATCGAATTGAGTCAGTGGAAAAGTCGTATCCTTTCACATTTATGAAGTATTCAATATTAGTTTGTTATCCGTACCACGGTCTTTCATGTACCCATTAAGTTAAGTTTCAGTGTATAATTATTTCCTTGCAACTGTGGTTTCTTAGAAAATGTGGTTATGTAACACTGATAGTTTTTCTGTCCTTCTTTGCAATCACTTCCTAATGAAAAGTCAAGTAAAAAGTGATCATGTCCACACTAGTAACTGTCTTTATATATTTCGTCAAGCAAGTCTGGAGTTAGAGAGAGAATCGATGCACCTACCATGTCAGACAGGTCGGTTGAAGAGCGATAAGACTGAAAGCAGCAAACCCAAGGTCCGAAAGCGAAGTCGTACTGCTGACTGTACAGAGGTGTGACAGCAGTAAGGTGTTTCCTTCAGACAACCAGCATGACAGCGATGCTGCCTTCCCACAAGAAGGGGTGGGGTTGGAAAAGGTCGGCCCTAAAATGCACACCTCGCCTTATCCCACGGATATCCGTCTCCGGCGATAAGGTCTCAATAAGTACGGAGCTAACACAAAAATTACCCATACAAAGGTCGTGTGTGACCGACCTCAAGCAGTTGTCCCTTGGGCACTGCGGTCACGCTGTCAGGTCACTAAGACCACCTTTTTATCCAAATTCCTTTTCAGGTACCTCCAGAAGAACCCTTCCACGGTGTGGGCAACCGGGAAGTGAAAACCGCCCTCATACCTCTAACAGCACTCAAGACCACTGTATTCATAATCAACCTTCCTCTTCAATTCCTATTATTCCTCCTACATCGACTTTCAACTTTAAATTTCCTCTCTCGGCTTCCACCTCAAGTGTCACCATAGCCAACGATTCTAGTGCGCAAAATACTGTCCCTGTCTCATCCCATCAGGCTCTGAACACGATGAAGAGCGTAAACAAATCAGATCTAGGTTAAACAAAAGTCTAAGGAACGACCGTGAGCAGTGATGGGTAACGAAAGCAAAAGAGATGGAAAAGGCGGCGACTATAGGGAACACAAAACAGCTTTACAGACTTATAAAAGAAACTGGAATTAATAAGTCAAGTGTAAGTGAGATTATATCCGAAAAAGACGATACTCTCATCTGCTCCCCGTCCAGACGTTTAGAACAATGATTGGAACATTTCAGAGAACAGTTCAACTGGCTCTTAGCTACCCTACAACTACCCTCCATTCCCAGACAGTGTGAATGAAACATTGAAGTAGGTCCCCCAACTCTTGCTGAAGTTGAGAAAGCTATAGTTAATCTGAAACGAGGAAGGGCAGCTGGTTCAGATGGATTGGCTCCAGAGGTCTTTAAGGATGGTGGTCCAATTTTAGCGATTAGGTTGACTAATATTTTAGCTAAGATCTGGGAGTTAAACGTTATCCCATCTAACTGGTCGCAATCACTTATCGTCCCAATATATAATAAAGGGTCAAATCATTTTGTGACAACCACAGAGGGATTAGTTTAGCAAATATAGTATCTAAAATACTAACCTCGATAATTAACAGACACCTGAACTAAGGATAGGGAGTGAAGTAGTCGAACGCGTCGACAACCTCACTTATCTTGGAAGTCTGATCAGCCCAAATGGGCTGGTATCGGACGAACTCTCAGCACGGATTCGAAAAGCTCGCTTCGCTTTTGCCACCTTACGTCACCTATGGCGTAGACGAAGTATCCGTCTATCAATAAAAGGACGAGTATACTGCGCGGAAGTCCGTTCTGTTTTACTTTACGGCAGCGAAACATGGCCTTTAAGAGTAGAAGACACTCGTAAACTACTAGTATTTGACCACAGATGCCTTAGAAATATTGCTGGCGTCTGCTGAGATAACCGAGTAAGTAATAGTGAGGTTAAACGCAGGGTATTGGGGAATGATGGTAAATCAGTCGATGAGGTTGTGAATATTCATCAACTGAGATGGTTGGGCCACGTGTTACGTATGACTGAACACCGATTACCACGACGTGTAATGCTAACCGGGGTAGGGGATGGTTGGAAGAAAGTAAGTGGTGGCCAAACCAAAACGTGACATCAGTACTTGAAGTCACTAACTTCTAGTCTTAGCCATATTGGTAGATGCAGACTACTTGGTTGGGGTCCGCGTGACTTTCGTAACCAATGGCTGGAGACTCTTGGTGACATGGCTCAGAATCGATCACAATGGCGTAGGTGTATACACTCACTGTCCTCCCTTAAACTAAGAGATTAAAATCGCTTCATATCTTTCTTTCTACGAACTAGTTCTTTCTTCCTGTACTATATCCTTATTGCAATCTTCCTTTTATATATTACCACCTCTGAATTAACTACTCTTATGAATCCGGTGTTCATCTTGCTGTGTTAATGAGGTATGGCAACTTGGACCGATGCATATAAGTGCTTGGTCCTGCGTTGTAGCTGACTGACTGACTGAACGAGATTCTTAAGTCTTAGATTAGCGTGGTGTCCATTCTGGCATATGCTTAGGACTGTCCCATAGTTTTACTCAACTCTACAAGTCACGATAGTAATAGTTGTCATTGTGATCTTCAGCGCTGTTAAACGTATGGTGACAGTTGTTATTTCTTAGGCGCCCACCTAATGGAAGAATACTTCGAGACTTTGTCATCTGCAACTTAATGACCTGTGAGTGAGACCGCAAAACTCAAAGTACAACTACTTTATGTCTGTTATACATGTCCGTTTCGCCAATAGATGTCGGAATATTGGATCTTCGCATTTCGACGGTAATCCGGGAAACAAGGTGAGCTGTGTAATTTTAGATTCGACCCATCGTGAGAAATCAGCACCACCTTGAGGTTAGTATGTATGAGTTCGAAGTGGGGTAGAGAGCAGAAAACTATTCTATCAACTGATCGGCTGACAGGCACGCGAGTGAGAGAAGACAGTCAACTAGAACACTTCTATTGATTCCCGATTTCGGACCCGACCACACCGTACAATAATTATGAAAATATAATTTTGTCCAAAACTGGAGATGAGCGTAGAAAATAGAGTACAAAATAATACGTTTAAATTACAATAGCTTTGGAACAAAACGGGCTACAGCAGTGAACCATACATCAGACAAAAGCTTATAATCTGTAGAATAGACTAGAAACAAAAATAAATGTTACTGTTTTACAAGCTTTGAATTAAATGTAGTAACGTCCCCAAAAATAGCTTCCGTAGTTTGTTAAGGCTTCTTGTTTCTCTGTTCATATCACTCTAACCATAAATATGGTTCTCTTGTCGTTGCTCCCTCTCCAACCTACTTGTCTATGTTGATAATATATAAAGAATCAAATGCCCAAGCCAATATGACTTTATTTTAGTCACCACAATAGGCAACCTGGTCTTCCACTTATGATCTGGCAACATTATTTGTGATTGTACCATGTTTTTGCTTGTCGCGGAATTCCATGTGTTCGTTGTATTCCTTAAGATGTTAAAATATTTCCAACAACTGTCAATTTCTTTAACTTTTGTCAATTCTATTGTTAATGTTCAGTATGTTCCAATGGCTTTCTACATTGGATAATCATACGTATAGCTTGAGAGATTCTTCATCTCCTCTGATTGTTGTTGATAATGTTTCGAAAACCGATAATACTCAGATAACCAATCAAGATTATGTTACCACTCGCACACATTTCAACACTAAAAATAATCTAAATAAGAATGATGTTCCAGAGTGTGATATACCTGTTAAAAAAGAAAGGTTGGTATTGTGAGAGGATATCTGTTTAATTCTTCCTTTTATGTCAAGTAGTGGTTTTATAATAAATTGTTTATATTAGTCATAATGTTGTATTCTTCTTTTGTTTTGCTTTATATTTGCCAAATGTATGCGAAGAAGAAATATAAATACTACTATTCTAAATAGAGTTCCATCTACAATCTATTTTCAAAGTGATTCTCTCCCAAATTTTAGTAACTTCTTTATCTTTGAAAGTGGTTAATAGGTAAGAAACAAAGGCAGTAATCGTTATCGGTAATGTAGCATCATAGAAGCAAGTGAACTTGTCATTCATTTGTCTCACTGGTCGATTGTCATCTTAATTTTAATCCATATGTTTCCCAATAAATAAAGTAACCTAGTTGTCTGATTTTTTTTTACTGTAAACTAGCCCGTATGCCTTTCAAAGTATTCATAATTTATGCTCTTGCTGTTTCTTCGAGATTTTCACTACTTATTTTAATAGTCTTATGTACTTTGACCCTTTATCAGTGTGTTTAGTGGTTCTAAGTTTTTGTTTTTGTTTGCGATCTTATTTCGTTATTGTGTTCCCTATTCTCGATAAACCTGAGTAGATGAAGCCCTTTTGCTTAGTGCTGCCAAAATAAGGTCACAGTATATTTACAATTACATGTAGGATAAAAGATGCTTGTAGGGATGTGTATGGAGCCCCCATAGTTCGATTAACTTCTCTTATTTTATTTTGCATATAACTTACAACGTGAACACAAGATACTTTGTGACTCGGTATATCGAGTATCTTTGTACTTAAGCTCAGGCATCTTTGTGCATCCAAGACCAATATGGGTAAAACAATTAACTCGCAAATGGACGTTGGGTTTTTGCTACACAAACGCTCGTTATATCTGAAATATAACATCCTTGTCCAGCCTAATGTTAAAAGAATTAACTCGGTATATTTGCCACTAAAGTGTTGCTTATAGTAGATGTAGGCCGTGCTTAGATTATTGCAGGATACATTTGTACTAGAATTGATAGGGTAATAAATTTCAATGGAGGAGGCATAGCGTTATATGTTAAAAATTACTTTTGAGTACATTATTGACACACAGTAGTGGCACATATAAGGTAGCTATTTGTACAATCAAATCTAAACATGTGTTAGTGACTATAGAAGCAATATACCGTAGTTAACGTTGTCTTACTGACGACTTTGTCCGAAGTTATATTTGCACATGTCGTGAAGCCGACTGTTGTGGCACATCAGTTAGATAGGACTTACAACGTCAGGTGGATGTTTTGATGTTAGCCTGCTATCAATTTTATTTAATGAACACTTGTACATTGTATCCCAAAACTGACTTATTGACTTAAAACATGAACCATCGTTGTTGAACCTTTTCTTCATACTGCTGTGATGATGTTATCAACATTCAGTACCTACTCTAACCAGCTAACATTGATCACGTACTATAATTTAGGTTACGGACACATTGTACAGTATGTATCTGTTCCACCTTATCCCAATATCTGACGAGCTAACATTCCTGCAATCAGAGACTGTGCTCTTTCAACAAATTGATCCGTCAGCGTGGATGGGGTAATGGAAAACGAATGAAATAAGTCTAAAGCCAGATTCTAGGTCATTACCGTTAAGTCCATGGTCAACACTTAGCCAATCACGTTGCACTTCATGGATCGTTATAGAATACCGAAATATGCTATGGTGTTTTGGAAGCAATTTTCGGGCTTTTTCTTGATAACGAGTGACGTATCACTCAAATGTGGTTACAAAAACTGAAATATATATAAAAGCAGTATAGTTGGACGTCGCACTAATTACGAAAGACAGTTGACACGCGATAGCTGTACTTACGCAGAACGATCGTTTCGTACATTAAGCGAAGAATTAAACGTAGTAATGGAATTCCTCTGTAACGGTAATAAAATCAAAATAGTTTAGTAAGTCTTCGAGATTGATGCTGACCTCATTTGTTTTACTGGACATACTCTAGCTTAAGGCACTCGGTCACGAATTTGCATCAGATCGCGGGTGTGCACGCCCTGCTAACCATCCCTTGTGACGAATAGCCAGCTCAGACCAAACACTTTTCGATATATTGACAGCCTTCCAAATATATCTTCGATCCCCATCATTTCTGATTTGATTAGGTTGGTATGCTTTAACTATAATGGTGTTACATGTAAAGGCGTTGTCAAACTATGAGCAACTATTCCATCTTTAGTGTTGAGCCTGACGTGATCCGGTACACCAAACCATAAAATGTGAGTCTGTTACCTGGAACATTACATATTCCTTCTGTTTTTACGCATAGCGATATCGATCTTATATTTGCCGGTGTTTTTTCGCCAATTTGCGCATCTTGTCTCTATTATGTCGCAAAAGACACCTACGCGGTTTAAGATTAAGACTTACGCCTTTCAACTCATCCCTGGAGATCATGAAAAAACCCAGCACTAAGGTTTAGTCTGTCAAAGAAAAGCACCAAACAAAATCCATTGTGTTCTCGTTCTTCCTTTCTTGATCTTCTGCTGCCAGGCATTGCGTTCCTTCAACTCACGTTATATACTACTTATATCAATATAAGTAACACGCACCACACTAGGTCATCTACGGAATCCAAATCGTCTAGTTGCATGCAAGCTGTCCACTATACTTTTTTGATCCTTTTTCAATTATCCTCCATAGTGGTTTCATCTTCTTTGAGTAGATCTTGTAGGGCTTGGAACGTGATGCTGAGAGCTATCTTGGATTTGTCAGTATTTCAAAGGAAGGATGTATTGAACGTTTTTAATGCTGTCTCTCTAGTTGTCCAATGTTTCTTTATCTTCAGTTTTATTTCGGCTACCACCATGTGGTGATCTGAAGCTATGTCAGCTCCTCTCCTGGTTTTTACGCCTTCCATTGACTTTCCGAACTTTTTACTGATGTAAATATGATCCGTCTAAATCTCTGTAGTGTGATCTAATGAGACCCATGTGGCTTTATGTATGTGTTTGTGTGGGAATATTGTGCCACCTATAACCATTTTGTTGAATGCACGTAGATTTGCGAATCTTCCACCATTCTCGTTTCTTTCTTCCAGTCAGTCCATGTCGTCCCAAGACATCTTCATGCCCGAATTCGGCATTTAAGCCCCCCATCAGAATGGTCAGGTCCCTTCCTGGGCACTTCACTAAGATCGATTGCAGCCTCTAAAAAAACTGATCTTTATCGTCGTCATTGCTATCATTGTTTTGTGCATAACATTGAATAACATTCATTGTGATTCCCCCTTTCTTTGTTTTGAGGGATGCTTTGATGATTCTGGGTCCACGGGGTTCCCATCCTATGAGTGCTTTACGTGCCTCTTTGGATGTCATCAGAACAACTCCCTGTGTGTGCGGAGCATTTTCTTCCTCGTGACCAGAGTACAGCAACATCTCTTCCGAATCTGTTCGTTTCTATCCATCTTAGATCCAATGGGTTTATGATGTATGGGCGAGAGTGATCGTGATTGGTTGTCTGTTTAGTCAGATATGTAAATAGTCTGACAGGTGTCAGATGAGTTTTGTATTCCCGATCCTTATATGTATTTTTGATTGTTTATTGTTGTTGGATTGTGTTGGGTCTTCGGTGTGGAAATATATTTATGTTGTAGGCAGGCTAATCACGGGGATAGAAATGAAGGAAACGCGAAACCCGTTAATAGTTTAGTAAGCGTGTTAGTGAACAAATGAACAACAAAAAGATTAAAAATAAATGCTTATTACAATAAGATTTGATAGTAGTGTATGTGTTTGTGTAGTAGTAATTTGTAGTGATGCTACAATAGTCTCAATTAATTGCAAAGGATAATCAAATATCAATATATATGATCGTTTAAAGATCCCTATATTAAAAAGGCTAATATTCGAACGAAGAATATCCTTTTCTACAATTATGTATCCAAATTAATAATCCGAAAAATGGCCAGGTTAAGTCAAAGTTCGTCGTTTAACGTATGTGAATTTAGTATTGTTGAACAAAATACAATAAAATTGTTAATGTTGATATGACTCAGATAGAATGTTAACTTGAATCTGCGTATATGTGGAATTTAAGATCCATGATCGGAAGAAATATGGGTCAGATAGGGTGAGAGTAATAATAGTGCAATTACAATTCGGTCAAATGTTTAGTGGGAAGCTATATTGTGTGAAAAATTAGTAAAACGTAATAAGGAGGGATAAATTCATAGTGAATGAATCATGTATAGGGGAGATTAATAATGATGCTTAAACAATAGTAATAATAATACAAAGATTTGTGAATAACGATAACAGATGCAATTATAGCTGACTATGAAAGGTCGTAGTCGAATTATGTCACTGACCTGTTGTTCGTCTGGGTAAGAGGGGTGGTTGGAGATAGATCTTCTGTACTCATACCTCCGGTTTCTTCATCCAGTTGGCTACTGCTTCAGCCGTTTGAAGGGCTTTAAGTTTGACAAGCTTTGGCAAAAAATACTGACCTTATGAATAGTTGAAGAAGAGTGGTTTATACTGTCACTATTACCAGTTCGTACTAAATGGGCCAATATCGAGCTGTTCACTTTCTTCATCAAACTTGTGTTTAGGTGCGCTGGGAGGTGCTCACGAGCATGAAAATTCCTAGAACTTCGACCAATAGAACTCGCTCCACAGGAGCAGTCGAACTGATAAATACAAAATTAGGTAGTCATTCTAGGTAATTCATCTTATGGCCTCGGTGTCACCATTGGGCGTTAAAAGAATTTTGTATTGTCCTGCGTAATCTCTGAGTTAATATTTGACTAGCCATATCCCCTCTGAATTGTAGACGCATTAACTGGGACTTCTTCACTGTTTGCATTCCGCCTACTTTCGTGATCATATATTTAATTATAAATTTTCTAGGGTAATCATTCTCCCTGAGAGTATTACGCATGGCGTTAGGCTCATCTTGAATTAAATGAGCAGAACATATAGTGCGTATACGGTAACTAAGGGTTTTGATTAACTTTCGTTTGTACTGTAGAGGTACGAAGCTAAGGAATTACGGATACTGCCCAGTCCATGTATTTTTTCTGTTTGTTTCTTTTTAACGATCCATCCGCACTTTTAGTTAAGAGAACGTCCAAAAAGTCTATTCGACCATCACTCTCTTCAGATGTAAACTGAATGGCTGGATGTTCCTCATTAAATCGCCTAAGAACCTCATTCTGTAAAGTATTATATTTACAGAGGATGAACATGTAATCCATATATCTACAGTAAAATGTGAAGTTTTGAATAATCTTTTTTAACGGACCATTTTCTAGTTTGGCTAGAAAAATATCAGCTAGTATAGGGCCCAGTTGTGAACCCATTGCAACACCATCTGTTTGTCAATATATTTCACCGCTGAACCTGAAATTCACATACGTGGTGCATTTGAGTAATAACTCTTTCACGGTATTCATAGGAACAGTAGTTTCAGTTTCATTTTCAATCAGTTGTTCACCTATGTATTCCACAGTCTCAATGATTTCGACGTTTGTGAATAACGATGTTACATCCAATAACATCATCTTTAATCCCAACGTATTTGCATTTTTGATTTTGTCAACAAATTGGAATACATCCTGAACATTGTTTTACAAGCTTTTCATGGAGAGGTTTCAATAGAATTAACAACCA